CCGTTGGAATTTTGGATGAGATGGGTATTAAAGCTGAAATTAGATGCTTTGCTAAAAAGGGAAGCAAGCAAATCTCTACAGAAGAAGCAAACTCAAGTAGGCTAGTTACCAAGGTGTGTGATGATTAGAATTATATAACAATCACAGATAAGCTCATATTCCTTGTGCATTCGTATCTCTAAGTTGTTTGATTCATGTTATTTAATGAACTGTAAAACACGCTCTCTGTAATATTTCTAGGTGAGGTGGGTGGTGGAATCGGCAAATGTCCGAATTAAAAGATGGAGATATTTTGATCATGTTTTACCTACAAATCAGGTGCCGTTTGTGGGAGACTACATTAGAATAATTTGTGCAATTTCCAATAAATATTTCCCTCCATTATCTACAGGTATATGTACTTAAATTTTTTTAGCACTATACCAGTTAATTTACCATCATAGTTCAATGACACAGGTTAATGAAATTTCTAGCTTTAAAGGTTACATGTATGATAATGGAAGGATTCATTAATGAATTTTTTTATTCTATTATAGCTCAAGAGGTTGACATGGCGATTGCTGCTAAGATGAAGTATCTTAGTACTGGAGTAAATATGCTGAAGGAACGATTAGAAAATGAAAAGCTTGACAAAAGGACTGTTATTTGGAAAGAAGTGCAATTACTGGATTTGGACTTCCCAAGGCTATCAGAAGAACAATTAAGAGAACTAACCTGTGGAATTTACCAACTGAAACTTGCTTCAAGTTACGTTCAATAACATCTGGATGGAAACAGTGATGATTATGTCCATCAAGAATACCCTCATCTCATCAGAGTGAAAATTCAGAGTAGACATACGTCAGCAAAGACACATTTGCTCTGGATTGCATACAACGAAACGGAAGTCACGGCCTGGTATTGCAAATGCAGGTCAGGGGCTAGGGTTGTTGGGGTTTGTGCTCACATCGCCGCCATAATCTGGTTTCTGGGGTTTGGGAGATACAGCAATGGTGACGTGGGTGTAAGGAATTGGGCAGAATATGCAGAGGATGCTGCTAACATTCCACATGAAATAGATTCCTCCTCGGACAGTGATAGTAGTGTTGTTGAGGAATGAGTAACAGAGTTGATTGCCGTGTTCATATTTAGATGTTATCGCTTTTAAAAAAAATTCCTGTCTTACTTGGAAAATGAATAAAAGCATGAACCATGTTCCTTAAAACTGTCAAAAGAGAATTGCTCATTAAATGTATGATCATCCTAACTTATGATACTATCTACATGTTCAAGAATTAAATTTTCATTTTGGCGCACTAAAAAATTAGAAAGGGGTCAGTCTGGCGCATGTCTTACAGATATGGCACTATAAGATGCAAAATTGTGGGTCGAAACTCTTATATTGATGCATTTTAGGACCGTTTTCAAGCTGACCGATTGTATTCATGACGTATCTGAGCATACTGTTACTCGTTCAATCAGACTCTTTGTAGCCGCGTATGTTCTTTACACCAGCAGAGCGTCTGATTGATCAAGACTAAAATCGGAATTGTACATGGAATATTTCCTTCGTTTAGAATACGCTTCTAGAAATTTTTACCAAATACTGAGTCAATTATATTTATCAAAATTATATGTAATGATTTAAATAATAAACACTTGAAAGTAATACTCCACTATGTAATATGTTCTAATATTTCTTAAAACTTTGATTATTTATTTCGAAACAAAACAAGTACAAGTTACTCATTGTGTATCCAGACACTTGCCCGAAATGCCTCCAAAGCGAAGACTGGTATTGGGCCAACTGACCCAAAACAACGAAAGCTTTCGTTTGTTTTACAAATAAAACGACGGAAACTTTTTCATTCCCAGACTCGGCAGAGGTCTCTGATTAAGAAGAACAGTCCAAGACGTTGACTCCTGATGTCAACGGCAACGATGTTCGTCATTTCCAGTCCAAGTGGCTAACTTTGCACCCGTGGTTGGAGTTTGATCAGATGGGACTAAAATGTTTTCCAAACAAATAAAAAGTTTCTCATTTAAGTTTTTTGCTCCGAGTTCTTTGCATACAAAACGAGTCCCTACCATTTGAACCAAATTTAATCTGCGACTGCCCCAGGTCTATTCAGTAGAGAAATGTGCATGTAAGTTTGCATCCTTTATAGTTTAGCTCTTCAACAACTTTTGAGAACTAAATCAATAAAATCAAAGGAACGAGGAATTAACTTAGGTATTCTGTTTATCAATTTTTTAAATACTCTATTGTATGAACTCAAGTCTAAAACACATTCTCCAATATGACATTTTTCAGTACTGAGATGAAATTTAAAGAAAAAAACTTTCTTTTATATTTATAATATTATTCATTTTATTTTAAAAAACTGAAATTGGTTGTGTCAGAAATGGCATTTAAAAACCCTGAAAGACCCATCAAATTTACTTGAAATTCATCACAAAATAGCATGAAATATCAATTTTTCCCGGGGGGCTTCGCCCCCATGGACCCCCTACCGGGGCGTTGCCCCTGGACCCCAATGGGGGCCTAACGCGGCCCCCATACCCCGGCGGATGACCCATGGATTTTAATGTTGATGGGCCATTGGCCCATCAACATTAAAATCCAGAGTGATCCCTGATCCAGTATGACAATATATCGGCACTGAAAAATGTTTCAAAAGGTTGACTTCAGTCAAAATAAATATATCGATAATTTTATGCTTTTATTTAAATTCTATAAATTACTATCTTCATATCTGTTAATTTAGATAATTCTTGCTGCAAATCTTTGCTCCTTTAAGAACTTGCATGCTAATCAGACATACACTGTATAAAGTGTTATGAAGTGAATGTGACATAAAGTTAAATGTGCTTAAATGTGGCATTTTTGTGTACCTAGAGTATGGAAAAGGTATATATGCATGTAATTTGTAATTTGTATTCTATTAAAAATTACGCAGTGAGAAGGTTTGGTGTGAGTTACAGGGTAGAACTGTGCATGAATTTTATAAAGAAGATTTCAATAAATATTGATATGCCTGCTTGTTTTATATATCAAATTATAACGTTACGTTTCAGCCAATGACGTTAAAATTATGACGTTATGTTCATTTTTTCCATTAAAACAATACCTCAGTGCAAAGTCTTTTATGAGAAAACTATAAATGATATTAAAAAAAGGAAAACAGTTATGAAAAGCATATGTTCTCTGCTATTTGTGGTGAAAATTTCATTGAAATCTTGGCTGGTGCCGTATTTGGACCTTCGTGGCTCTTGTTCTTTGCTATTGGGACTGTGAATATACGTCATGATAAGTGGGGTAGTCAACATTACCGATGTCGATGTATCACAGTTTTTGCAAATCATTCATATAGTAAATAATGCCAGGACCGCAGACGGACGTCGATATATCCCAGGTTGTCAACATATCCGATGTCGAAATACCGAAGTTTACCCTGTACTTTTATTAGTGGAAAAGTTGTGGATATAAATAAAATTTTATGTGTCATCAAATGTTTTATATACAATCTTTTTTACATTGTTTTTGACATATTTAGATTAAAATTGCAGTTAGTTGTTATAGTTTTTTATGTATTAAGAACAGGGTCAAATCGATCGGGATCGAACTCATGTTTGGATCGAGTTCGGCTTGATCGGGATCGAGTGCTCAATTAATTTAATTTTGTGAAAACACAAGGTTGTAATGATAGAAACTGGTAGGCTAAAGAAAATACCCTGAGAACAAAGATTATGTTCTTCATGTAATACTATTGATGATGAATCTCATTTCTTTCTACAGTGTCGCTTGAACATACAAGCAAGGTTTAATATACTTATAAAAGCTATGTTAGATAATTGTTCCTCATTCTACCTCAAATCACCTACACAGAAACTTGAATATATACCAAGTCCAAAACTTGAAGTTATACCAGCTATTTCCACTTTTAAAAAACAATCATTAGAATTGAGAAATAGAAGGTTCACATCGGCGCAACATTTAGGGAATTAATTTCTATGTGGATCTTGTATATATCATTCATTGTTCTCTTTTGTTTTGTTGCTTGACCCATATGGGTGTACATGTAATATGCAATAAAGATTATCATATTGTGGCCCCATCCTACCCCGGGGGTTATGATTTGAACAACGTAGGTTCTACACTATCCAATGATGATTCAACATAAATTTCAGCTTTTCTGGCCCAGTGCTTCTTGAGAAGATTTTTAAAGTTTTCTTCCTATAAAGTTCAATTTAAAACCTTGGATTCACTATTGTGGCCCTGTCCTATGCAGGGGGGTAATGATTTGAACTAACTTGATTTTACACTACCCTTGGATACTTCGACATAAGTTTCAGCTTTTCTGGCCCAGTGCTTCTTGAGAAGATTTTTAAAGTTTTCTTCCTATAAAGTTCAATTTAAAACCTTGGATTCACTATTATGGCCCTGTCCTATGCCGGGGGGTAATGATTTGAACAATTTAGAATCTACACTACCCCAGCATGCTTCCACATAAGTTTCAGCTTTTCTGGCCCAGTGGTTCTTGAAAAATTTTTAAAGTTTTTTGCCTTTATACTTCAATGTAAAACTTGGATTCCCCATAATGGCCTTGCCCTACCCTGGGGTCATGATCTGAACAATTTAGATTCTACCCTACCCCACATATTCCACATTAGTTTCAACTTATCTGGTCCAGTGGTTCTTGAAAGGAAGATTTTTGAAGTTTTTTGCCTTAATACTTCCATGTAAAACTTGGATTCCATATTGTGGCCCCGCCCTACCCCTGGAGGTTATGATTTTAACAACACTACCCAAGTATGCTTCCACATAAGTTTCAGATTTTCTTGCCAAGTGGTTCTATAGAAGAAAAGTTTTGAATGACCCCACCCTATTATTGTATTTTCTCGATTATCTTCCCTTAAAAGGGGAATTGGCCCTTTATTTTAAAAATTTAAATTCCCCTTCAAATAAGGATGCTTTGTACCAAGTTCGGTTAAAATTGGCCCAGTTCTTGAGAAGATGTTGAAAATGTAAAAAGTTTACAGACAGACGAATGGACTATGGACAGCAGGTGACCAGAAAAGCTCACTTGAGAATTCAGCTCAGGTGAGCTAAAAACTATAAATCTGAACTTTCTTTGGAAAAAGTGTGCATAAGAAAGTTTATGAAAGTTAGTTTTTCTATATTTAATGAAATGATAACTCTTACATTGGCACAGGAAGGGTGTTCCTCAGCATCATTTTCACTTCGAAAGCCACAGCATTGTGAGCTAATTTGTAACTTGATGCGAGACTGGTTGCTGGAATAGCGCCAGCCTGTCAAAGCCAGCTGTTCTCGCTGTTCCTGATTGACAGCCAGGCAGGCACAGGCAAGAGAAAATTGGATCAAGAAAACAAGGAACAGAATTATCATGTACTTCAAATGCATAGGAAATTCAATAACTCTGACAGAAAACTAAAAACTTACTACAAGGAATGGAAATCGAATGCAGAAATTTAAAATTATCAACTGCAACCAATTGTGAAATAATAACTAGTTAATCAAATTAAAGTGCATATTAACACTGCATAGATCAAGGACCCTCTGTTTGCTGCTGAAAATGTATATTGAACATAATATAACAGCATGAAGGAGTATGCTTTAAAACTATCTAGATTATGACCAGCATGCAAAGTGTGCCTTTTTTCACTCAGGAAAAATTCATCAAAGACAATTTATTTTAATAAGTACTTCAGACCTGTTTGCCCATATTGTCATCTCTCAGTTTGTTTTATTAGATTTGTCACTGAGATTTTGGCATTTGTCAGTAAAATTTCTCTTTCAATCAATTTCACATTTCATTAGAGAAAAAGCTACATTTCTGATTACCATTTCTGTCATTTTTTAAAACACCTTTTTTGGCAACATGACATCACTTTACTGTTTGAAATCTTTATCTTTTTTAGCAATTAAAAAGCATCAAACTGAGACATATCATAATGAAAACTTACTGCTAGCCTAAAATCCCATCAAACAGATTTCTAATTTCCATTATAGCGAGAGTAAGACGTATTTTGGACTCAAAATCTGTACAAAATATAAAGAAATTGGAAGAGTCAACAGGTCTGGTACTTTAATACAAGAGGCTCATGGGCCTTTTAGGTCACCTGAGCATCATGCAACAACTTTCAAATGATTGATTCTGGTTCATGTTTTAAGCTAGATTCTATGGCATTCACAATTTTGAAAGAGGCATCATTGCCAATCATAACTATGCACTTAGCAATTGCTTAGTTTGGTTACTTAATACTCACAGACAGGGTAGGGGAACAAAAAATGCATTTCAACTAATCAGTAATATTCAGCAATAATCAGAAGGGCCCCTACCACACATGAACACCTGACTCTAGGTCTGTACATTACATAATTTTTGTAAAGGCATACTTGCTTATCAAAAATGTTTGATTAATACCAAAGAGTGGATTTCAAACAAATCATTTTCAGTATATAAGTAGAACCCCCCACACCCATGGTATCCCTGACCCAGGGGCCTTGAAATTCACATTTCTGGAAGAATAGCCTTTGCACATCATAACTATATAGATAGTTCATCTGCTTATTACCCAGGAGCAGAGAAAAAGATTTTCAAAGATATAATGTATTTTACTACATATAGAGCCCTGTCCTAACACCAGAACCCCTGACCCTGGGGCCATAAAATTCACAATTTTGGAAGTGGCACTCTTGCTCATCATAACTATGTACTTAGTTAGTTTATTTAATATCCAGGAGGAGAGAAGAAGATTTTCAAAGAAATGATGCATTTATACTATATTATCAATATAGCCCCGCCTTAGCACTAGAGCCCCTGACCCTTGGGCCATGAATTTCACAATTTTGTAGAGGACTCAATGCTCATTGCATTCATGCAAACAGTTTGACTGCTTGATGTCCAGAAGTAAAGGAGATTTTTAAAGATTTCATTTATTTTAGTGGTTTTGGCCCCACCCCTCTAGCTCCAGGGGGGCAGGGAGAATAAAATTCACAATTTTTGTTCCCCTTCACCCATAGATACTGTATAACAAATTTGGTTGAAATTGGTTCAGTGGTTCCCGAGAAGAAGCTGAAAATATTCAAATGTTAACACACAACACACATGACGACGGCAAAAACGGTTAGCATTAGGTCACCTGAGTGACTCAGTTGACCTAATAAAGAAATATTATGTTTGCTAGTACACAGCAAAACTCGTTAAGTATGAACACGGATATTGCGATTTCATGATTATAGCGAAGTTATCTTGGATCCCCCAGCTATATAAATTTAGCCAATTCCTTATACAGATATAACTAGAAATATGTCCATAGGACATGAATGCCCCGCTGAGGATATATTAGTTTGGTTCAGGTAGGGCTTATAGTTACTAGGGAATGAAAATGTAGGTCAGATCCAGCATCCGAAGCAAGTCTGGTAGTGTCCATCCCTAGATGCATCAGCCATGCAAGTTTGGTTCAGGAAGGGCTTATAGTTACTTGGGAATGAAAATATAATTCAGATCCAGCATCCGAAGCAAGTTTGGTAGTGTCCATCCCTAGATGCATCATCCATGCAAGTTTGGTCCAGGTAAGGCTTATAGTTACTTAGAATGGACCTGCTCCAAAAACTTTAATCTGGTCACTCATCTGGAAAATGTAGGTCAGATCCAGCATCCGAAGCAAGTCTGATAGTGTTCATCCTTAGATGCATCATCCATGCAAGTTTGGTCCAAGTCGGGCTTATAGCTCCTTAGGAATGGACCTGCTCCAAAAACTTTAACCTGGTCACTCATCTGGAAAATGTAGGTCAGATCCAGCATCCGTAGCAAGTCTGGTAGTGTTCATCCCTAGATGCATCATCTGTGCAAGTTTGTATCAACATGTGAAGTTTGATAACACCATCTTGAATAGTATGTTTAAAACTGAGCTAAACACTAATTTAAGAAAAGTGAGGTCAAGGTCAAAGGAAAGGTCAAGATGAAAAAATGTTGATGCAGTTGCATAGCTCTCATCAATATCTATCAGCATATGAAGTTTGATGAAAATATCTTGGATAGTTTCTATGAAACTTAGCTTTGAACAGAGCTAAACTCAAAGTGTGATGGAAGGATGGAAGGACAGAAGGACGGAAGGACGGAAGATGGACATGACAAACACTATACGCCCCTGCCATATTCATGGTGGGGCATAAAAATTACAGATATAGCAAAGTAATTTTTTTAAGTCCCGGTGATTTCATTATCACTGAGTTTTACTGTACTTAGTTTGGAAAATACATAAAAAAAAGCATGCAACAAAAGGCCAATGGGCCAAACTGCTCTTCTGAGCAACTTTGGCCCTGCTGTTCTTCACAAGACCCCTCCCCCCCATTGTAATTCTTATAGTGGTCCAATCCTACTCCAAGGGGGTCTCATTTTAACAATTCAAAATCTACACTACTCCAGGGCAGATGAATGATGGGTGATCAGGAAAAACTCCCTTGAGCTTTCAGCTCCTGTGTGCTAAAATTTATCTTTATAGCACATTTATTTTCCATTGATTTCTTCAGAGTATCTTTAACTGTGCTGTGAGTTTGGTTTTAACCCCAGGAATAGAGAAGAAGAGTAAACTCAAGTGGTCATCATGACCTCCTTTGAGTCAACATGATTTAAAGTCCCTAGATGCATCACCTGACAAACTATGATGATCCTTTAGTCCTTATAGTAAGCAAATATCTTCATTTCAACAAGAGATTTTGTAAAACACTTATTCCCCCCTCCCCGAAATAACTGGAATTTTTTAAGTCCAAGGGGCATAACTCTATCCAAAATGGATCGATCTTACCCAAAACAGAACTTGACCTAGATATTCTTATAATTAATCGATCGCTATACAAAATTTCATTTCAATATGTGCAACCTCTGCAAAGAAAATGAATAGAAACTGATGATGGACGACCAACAGACAGACCCACCCACAGAGAGCAGTAAAGCAATATGCCCTCCCTTCTTCAAATGGGGACATTATACATATATTACATGGCTTCGAGGGAAGCATACCAGAATATTTGCCCCAAGGTGACTGGAAAGCCCTGGAGTGTTATGTCGCCCGATGCCGAAGGCAGAGGGCGACATAACACTCCAGGGCTTTCCTGTCACTGAGGGGCAAATATTCTGGTATTGCAGCCCGAGAATAAAGCCACGTAATATATGTTATATAACATTTTTAAACATTGAACCCAAATCGGTCATCCGACATCGAACATTATATTGAACACTATGTACAGATTGTACACATGTACGTTGAGTATAATTCCGAAATTTCCCGTCCTGTTTCATGGCAGAATGTTTTCAGTATGCTGACACTTCTGTTGATAACCTTTGTTACAAATTTCAGGAATTTTTCTCCTCAATTAAATTATCTAATTCCTCTGAATTCAAATGAACAAATCGCAGTCGTTGTCTCGACTTTTTAATTTTCGCGGAACTGTTTACGTTTGCTAAGCAACTGCCTCTGTGAATTTCGAACCCGACATATTTAATATACAGAATGATCGCATGCGAGGGAACATAACTGTGCTCGGGAGGGCAACATAACTGTTTCCGGTGGAACATAACTGTATCCGGCGTTATTCGGCAGTTTTTCAGGGCATATGGATAAAAATATTATATTTGTGATATAATGGGAAAACTTCTTCAAAAATGTTATATAATAAAATAAACTTTTGGTCAAATTTAAAGTGACCTTGAGACCACATCCTCTGCCCAAGAGTGATGCCTTGAACAATTTTTAATCTTCAACATATTCTCATCATTATCTGTAAGTTTGCTGATAATCTGTCGAGTGGAGTTGAGCTGAAGATTTTTAGCAACCTGTACTTATTATGCCCCCATAATCACAGATTCAGGGGTATATACTGTGTGTGTACTTAAAAAAGCAGGCATCATATTTTATCGGCTTTGGCGCAGACACTGATGCGCTTATTCATGAATACCGCTAAGAAAACATACATAAATACAATATAGCACTGTAGCACTAATTCATGAATATGCCAACAACTCAATTCCCAGTGATTGCGCTAAATTTTGAATACGCCAAATTATGTACACATACAATAGTTTTTGCCCTGTCAATCCATCTGTCTGTTTGTCCTAAACAAGAGGCCCACGGGCCTTATAGGTCACCTGAGGATCATGTAACTTTTGACAATTGAATTTGGTTCTTGTTTTAAACCAGAGGCCATGAAATTCATAATTTTGAAAGAAGCACTATTGCTTATTATAATTATACACTTAGCACGCTTACTCTAGTTACTTAATACCCAGAGGTGGATCAGAGTAAGAAAGAGAAAATGCACTTCCACATCATAACCAGTTATGCACCCCACCCCAAAGGAACCACTAACCCTGGGGCCATTTATTTCAAAATTTTGGAAATTTTATCATAAATTTTATTTCATCACAATTGTTGATTAATAACAAAAAGCAGATTTCAAAGCATTAATTTATTTTCAGACTAGGTGACCCCCCCCCCCCCCATACCCCTGACCCAGGGGGCATGAATTTTGCTAGATGCACCTTTTTTCATCATAACTATGTAGTTAGATTATTGGCATAATACCCTGAAGCAAAGGAAAACAAAATTCAAAGAATTAATGTATTTTCACTATGTAATCAAAAGAGCCCCCCCCCCCTAAAGCAAATGGCAAAACCCCTGACACAGGGGACATAAAAATTCACAAATTTGGTTGAGGCATTCTTGCTCATCATAAATATGTACTTAATTTGTTTATTTAATACCCAGAAGCAGAGAAGAAGATTTTTAAAGAATAAATGCATTTTCACTATATAATCAATAGAGCCCCACCCTTACAACAGAACCCCTGACCCTGGGGTCATAAAATTCACAATTTTGAAAGAGGCACTCTTGCTCATCATAACTATGTACTTAGTTAGTTTACTTAATACCCAGGAACAGAAAAAAAGATTTTCAAAGAATTAATGCATTTTCACTATATAATCAATAGAGCCCCACCCAAACACCAAAACCCCTGACCCTGGGGCCTTTAAATTCACAATTTTGGAAAAGGCACTCTTGCTCATCTTAACAATATACTTTGATAGTTTATTTAATACCCAGGAGCAGAAAAGAAGATTTTCAAAGAATTAATGCATTTTCACTGTATAATCAATAGAGCCCCGCCCTAGCACCAGAACCCCTGACCCTAAGGTCATGAAATTCAAAATTCTGGAAGAGGCACTCTAGGTCATCATAACAATGTACTTGATTAGTTTATTCAATATCCACAAGCAGAATAGAAAATTTTCAAAGAATTGATGCATTTTCACAATATAATCAATAGAGCCCTGCCCTAATACCAGAACCCCTGACCCTGGGGCCATAAAATTCACAAATCTGAAAGATCATAACTATGTACTTAGTTTGTTTATTTGATACCCAGGAGCAGAGAAGAAGATTTTCAAAGAATTAATGCATTTTCACTGTATAATCAATAGAGCCCCACCCTAGCACCAGAACCCCTGACCCTAAGGTCATGAAATTCACAATTCTGGAAGAGGCACTCTTGCTCATCATAACTATGTACTTAGTTAGTTTACTTAATACCCAGGAACAGAAAAAAAGATTTTCAAAGAATTAATGCATTTTCACTATATAATCAATAGAGCCCCACCCAAACACCAAAATCCCTGACCCTGGGGCCTTTAAATTCACAATTTTGGAAAAGGCACTCTTGCTCATCTTAACAATATACTTTGATTGTTTATTTAATGCCCAGGAGCAGAAAAGAAGATTTTCAAAGAAATAATCCAACTATAATTATATAGCGAACACTTTTCACTATATAAACTATTTAGCCCCGCCCTAGCACCAGAACCCCTGAACCTAAGGTCATGAAATTCACAATTCTGGAAGAGGCAATCTAGGTCATCATAACAATGTACTTGATTAGTTTATTCAATATCCACAAGCAGAATAGAAAATTTTCAAAGAATTGATGCATTTTCACAATATAATCAATAGAGCCCCGCCCTAATACCAGAACCCCTGACCCTGGGGCCATAAAATTCACAAATCTGAAAGATCATAACTATGTACTTAGTTTGTTTATTTGATACCCAGGAGCAGAGAAGAAGATTTTCAAAGAATTAATGCATTTTCACTGTATAATCAATAGAGCCCCACCCTAGCACCAGAACCCCTGACCCTAAGGTCATGAAATTCACAATTCTGGAAGAGGCACTCTTGGTCATCATAACAATGTACTTGATTAGTTTATTCAATATCCACAAGCAGAAAAGAAGATTTTCAAAGAATTGATGCATTTTCACTATATAATCAATAGAGCCCCGCCCTAGCACTAGAACCCCTGACCCTGGGGCCATGAATTTCACAATTTTGGTAGAGGACTCAATGCTTATTACAATCATACCAACAGTTTGACTGCTTGATGTCCAGGAGTAAAGAAGAAGATTTTTAAAGATTGCACTAATTTTAGTGGTTTTGGCCCCACCCCCAGGGCCCTAGGGGGGCAGGGACCATGAAATTCACAATTTTTGTTCCCCTTCACCCATAGATGCTGTATGCCAAAATTGATTTAAATTGCTTCAGTGGTTTTAGAGAAGAAGCTGAACATGTTCAAATGTTAACACACGACGCACGACACACGACGCACGACGACGGACGAAAACGGATAGCAATAGGTCACCTGAGTTTACTCAGGTGACCTAAAAACTTTCACCTTGAATGGGTGGGGCTATTACTTTAATATTTCACAGATATATTTCTTGTGACTTCTCTTATTACCATCAAATTTGACCTTGACTATTGAGTTTGACTCATTTTTGCCAAAAGCTTTTTAAATCTAATCATAGCTGTAATTTTTGAGTAATTGGTGCTAAGGCTTTCAAATTTCACAGGTGTATTCCTTTTGCGAAGACTTTCCTGTGGGTATAAAAGTGTTTGACATTTTGACCTTGACCTTAGAGTTTGGTCCACTTTAAAAAACTTTAAACTTGCCCCTAACTTTTGAATCGTCAGTACTAGGGCTTTCATACAGGTGTACTCCTTGTTACAAGACTTCCTTTTCATAACCTTAAAATTTGACCCACTTAAAAAAACATTAATCATGACCATAACATTTGAAGCATCAGTACTACGGCTTTCTCATTTCACAGGTGTATTTCTTGTGACAAGACCTTCTTTTGGGTACCAACAATTGTGACCTTTTGACTTTGAAGTATAACATGCATTTGAGAAATTTCAACCCTTGCCATAAACTGCCAAATGGGGGCATCAGTGCTTTACAAACACATCTTGTTTTCTTAATTAATTCCATTTATTTAAGGGTCACAACCCTAGTTTTAGACAGTATAAAAAACAGTGTTTTCCATTTATTTCAAATGAAAGCACTTAGGCCAAGGATACCCTGTTACAAATTTGACAAAAATTGGCCAAGAGATGATTGAGTTATGATCTATATTCTAAAATGTTTATGCAAAACACACAAATGACCATAGCATTAGCTCTTTGATCCTTTGGCTCAGATGAGCTTAAAAGCAAACTTGCTACAATATTGTAGCTGAAATTGTTCCTCAAGATCAAATTTTTTTTAATGCAGGTATTGGACAACAGATGACAAATTACAGAAGATGCAAACACTTGGGCAGATTTTGATCAGAAAAGTACATATTTTAGTGCAACAAATCTGAAGTATGTGATCACTGAAATTTTAAAGGATACAAAGAATAAGAGGACTTGATGATGTTTACATGCTCCAATTACTCCTATTAAGGCTGTCAGAAATAGGAAAACACCACAGGCAATTACTCCTCCTACCAAGGCAAGGCTAGTTACAACAGCAACAACTCTAGCATAAGCAGCAACTCCAATCAGGATGAAAGCAACTAACTGAAACAAGAGGTAAAATTTATGAGGAATGATCAGAAAATTATGTACTAAGTATATCTATAAAATAACAAGAGGCCCATGGGCCACATTGGTTACCTCAGCTCTGTGGCTGGGAAAAAAGCAGAAATCAGTTTATTATTGAAAAATTTTTAACCCAAAAGTGGTCCCAACCAATCCTTAAACAGGTTGGAGAGAATACAGTTATTTGAAATCGGGTATTATCCTTGAAATCGGGTATAATACCCGATATTAGGGTATCGTTGAATCCGCGAAATCGGGTATAGGCGGTTTAATCACCTAATAAATCTTAAACAATGGGATGGCGCATGTTGCCGAGTTAACTTACATCTAGATACAAATGTTTTGTAAAGGTATCACTAGCCGTGTAAGAATTTGAGCGTCAGGATTAATGTGCACAGGACAACAAAAACCCATGAAGCTTACATGTAGTACATTTCATCATCTGCACCCAAAAAGGCGTTCGTTTTGCTTTATATTTTTCAAAAGGCCAGCATATTTTTATTTTTAGGTTTACTAACATCAGAATGAAAAAGTTCCATAGGAGGAGGAAATTAAAAAAAAAATTTTAAAAATTTTTTGGATAAATTATCGACTTTCGTACATTCATTTTTGATTCTTTTTTATGCTATCCTAACAGGCTCCTTGCTACTAGACACATAATGGTTACAAACAGGAAAATAGAACATTTAATTGTTTATTTCATCATCTGCCAGTTATGGCTCGTGATATAAATGTTGTGATAAATTGTTGTCAAAATAGATTTTAAAAAACAATTCTTTAAAACTCTTTCAATATATCCTAATTTTTTAAATATGTGTTAGGTGAATGTGAAGACATTGTTCTAAAATATACTTGAAACCTAAAATAATAATTCCTAATATCATAAAACAGACAGGGAGAAGGGTGAACTTTTTTCAATTAAGTGTAAAATAGTTTTTCTGGCTGCTAAAAATGATACTACATGCCTGTATATATTTGTATATACTTGCTTTTTAATAGCTGAAATTTTTTATTTCTTCAGGCTATTGTTTATTTATTCCTTAAATGGACTTACTTTCTCCCATAGTTTTATTCATTACATCTGATGCATAAGCGACCTTTTTCTGAAGAATGATGCTTAGACTGTAAGCTATAACAGAGACCTGAACAATGTCGCTGGCAATAACTACCATGGTTACTTTTAAACCTGTCGGAGGAAAATAATTTACAGACACTTTTGAATACGAATACATAATTATCTCACCACCATGCCATTGTGCAACAAAGTTGTCAGCATTTTATTTGTCCTCTGAACAGAGGCCTGTTCAGCAGAGCGAATGTTCGCAAGTGTTCGCCAAAATTCGTTATACCTCCAGTAGTAATTTTGGTGAGCGCTCGCGAACATTCACTCTGCTGAACAGGCCTCTAGTGAAACGTTTTGAATGGCACTCCTATCGATAAATTTTTACACTAAACCAAGCTATGATGCTGCTATGGACTTTGCAGATCTACCTTAATTTACCTGCCATGTTCATCTTAAAAACAGAAGTATGATTTCGTAAATTTGAATTCTCAATCCCGACTCAAATTTGACAAATCGGAAAGAAAAATTTCTGTTTTTCTGTATTTTATTTTTTTCTGAAAATTCAAAAACTTGAGTGGCGGATTTGTAAACCTAAAAATAAAAAAATGCTGGCCTAATGTTGAAAGTATTTGCATCTTCTTAATGTTCATACAAAACACAACAGAATTGTTAAATATCAGAATTCAGGAAATTATAATAATTCTGCATCAACATGACAAACATGAACAATTTGTAAATAAAATTATACGGAAACACATTTCACACACAAGATAATGCCATTTGTTAACAAGAAATCTGGGAGCCAATGCTCACTAGTAATACCCCTGCTCTGATGTAAATAAACACTAAAATGTTAATATACACAAGTTCAATTACAGGCAGATGCACAGAAAATATGAAGTTGACATCAGGTTCACATCAAAATTAATCCCACCATATGGCATGCCTCAACAAAGGGTGTACTAAAATTTCAAGCATCTGCTATGAATAGTTAATTAGAAAACTGTGACAAAAATTTGTTATGTATGAAACAGACGGATGCACAGACAAACAGGAAGTTGACATCAGATTTTAACAAAAATGTATCCCAATGTATGGCATTGCCTCAGAAAAAATTGGTGTTAAAATTTCAAGCATCTGCAATGAGTAGTTGCTGAGAAAACTGAGATGAAAATTTGTTATTTATGGAACAGACAAATGCATAGACAAACAGGAAGTTGACATCGGATTTGATCAAAAATGTATCCCAATGTATGGCATGCCTCAGAGGAAATTCTGTTAAAATTTCAAGCATCTGCGATGAGTAGTTGCTGAGAAAACTGCGACGAAAATTTGTTATGTATAAAACGGACAGACGCAGAGATAAACAGAAAGTTGACATCGGATTTAAACAAAAATGCATCCCACCGTATGGCATGCCTCAGAAAAGATTGTGTTAAAATTTCAAGCATCTGTGAAGAATAGTTGCTGAGAAAACTGCGACGAAAATTTGTTACGGACACACAACACGGACACACAGACGGACCGACAGACACACAAGGGTAAAATAGTATACTCCCTCTCCTTTGGAGAGGGGGAGGGGGGGTATAACAAGAGAGTGTCTATCATATCCAATTATGCATCATTAATTACTTTCACATTCATCTTGTGCATAAAATCAAATTCATTTAAGAATGTATAAATTATGTAATCTAATAATGTTTAAAATTTCAATTAAAAATCTCTGTGTTTTTGAAAATCTTTTTTTTATCATTATTCATACATATTTGCAGAATATGTCTTGAACATTTTAGCAGAGACAGTGATAATTTCAGGAATACAGCTTATGAGAGAAGTTAACTGTTGATCCTTTGATTCTGCTTAGTCATCAATATTTTACCATTCTTCGGCGATTTCAAAGGGGGTGGGGGGGGGGGGGTGAAAAGCTGTAAAGGTTGTTACTGCTTTCTGAGTAAAATCAAAGTACTGAAAGTACTGAATCGAGGTGACGTCTTCCAAAAAAATGTGATATTCACCCCCAAGTAACTGGCATATACAAAAATTTTAATCTAGAAGAAACCCCAATGAAAATCACTGGAAAGAAAAAAGTGACCAACACGACAATGCATTTTGTAACTTATTTGATATATAAAAAGTGAACTATAGTTATCCTTCAGTACCCGTCACCATAAGAGGAAAATACCTCGCATTTCTCTTCAATTTATATTTTGATTTGTTTCTTGTTATACAGTAGATGCAGATCTGTAGCTCTCCGAAAAAAAAAATTTCACAGACCGGAGAGCTACAGTGCCACCCATTGAAAAACTGTTTATTTATTGCGCAAAAAGAAGTGCGCTGTTTCTCGATTTATTTCTCCATGTTTTTAAACTGTCATCTCAAAATATTACTAACCGTGTGTTCCTAACATATTCTTTCACTGTTTCCACAACAAAACGTTCCTTATAATTGTTTTTAATAGCCCTCCTGGTCCTGAAATTGAGATCATCAAACATATCATCTATTTATAATGCAATTTTGGTTTGCAAGATAATTCAATCCAATGCACTTCATGCAGATGTCAACTACGAGAGTACTTCATAGAGGAGTAAAGAATTTTTTAAAATGTATCTTTTTTTGCGATTGAGGTAAGAATTTGGAAGAACTCATCCAGAACTAAGCACAACTTTTTGTGCGCAATAAATACTAGTATACAGTTTTTTTTCAATGGATGGCACTGTAGCTCTGCGGTCTGTCAAAATATGTATTTTTTTTTTTTTTGAAGAGATACAGATTTGCAGCTAGTTACACAGTAATAAGAATGAACATTATATTTAATGATATTAACAACAAGAGGCCCATAGGCCACATCGCTCACCTGAGCAAAGTAGCTAGAAAAAAAAGCATAAATCAGCTTATTTTTGAAAAGTTAAAACCAAAAGTGGTCCCAACCAATCCTTAAAAGGGAGAGGGTATGACTTGAACAAACTTGAATCTACACTAACTAAGGATGCTTGCATATTTCTTTGACTACCTGTGGCTTTATTGCCCTTTACATTTGAACTTACATTGTGGCCCCACCCTACCCCCAGGGGTCATAACTTGACCAAAATTGAATCTACACTATGAATAGGACTAATCATGTCTTTGCTATTCCTGAAAAGAAGATTTTTAAAGATTTTTTTCTACATGTTTTTATGTAAAATTTGGATTCTATATTGTGGCCCTGCCCTACCCCCGGGGACCATGATTTGTATAAACTTGAATGTCCACTATCTGCGAATGCTTCCATAAAAATATGATCATTCATGCCTTTGCTATTCCAGAGAAGATGATTTTTAAAGAGTTTTCCTATATATTTCTATGTGAAACTTTGATAGGCTATTGTGGCCCCGCCCTACCCCTTGGAGTCATGATTTGAACAAACTTGAATCTCCACTACCAGAGGATGCTTCCATAAAAATATGATCAATCATGCCTATGCTATTCCAGAGAAGAAGATTTTTTAATGTAAAATTTTGATGGGCAAATGTGGCCCCGACCTACCCCCGGGGGTCATGATTTGAACAAACCTGAATCTACACTACCTGAGGATGCTTCCCTATAAGTACCATCTTTCCTGGCAGAGTGGTTCTTGAGAAGAGGATTTTTAAAGAATTTTCCTATTTATTTCTATGTAAAAATTTAATTAGCCAGTGTGGCCCCGCCCTACCCCGGGGGTCATGATTTGAACAAACCTGAATCTACACTACCTGAGGATGCTTCCCTATAATTTTCATCTTTCCTGGCAAAGTGGTTCTTCAGAAGAAGATTTTTAAAGAAATTTCCTATTTATTTCTATGTAAAAATTTGATTAGCCAGTGTGGCCCCGCCCTACCCCCGGGGGTCATGATTTGAACCAACCTGAATCTATTACCTGAGAATGCTTCCCTATAATTTT